TTGGGGATCTGCTGCTTTTATGTGGTGGATGACGAATCGTTGATCAGGGTGAATGCTTGGGAGCATCAGATAAACCAGCAGCTAACAGGCCTAAGAATTGCTAGTGGATACTGCAAAACATTAGCAGCAAAATCACCACAATTCTTCTTTAAAGAGCCTTCGTGTCTGTCGTTCAGCCCACCATTGAGAGGGATTTTGAAGAGAACTTCAGTGGTAGAAGTGGGCATGGAGGTCTTTGGATAGCAAATTATTTCCACCTCCATTCTAAAAATTTCCCTAGATCAAGGCTTCCTAACCATGACAACTTTAAGATGCGTGGACTTCAATTCCCAGAATTCCCCACCCAGCCATGCATCTTAAAAGTTTCTAAGGCGGGAAAACTCTGCTGTAGACAGTCTTCTTTCAAATTAAGGCAGGGGGAGATCTTTTAAAGCAAGGATGTTGTGATAGGGAAGGTCAAAAAAGTCAAGATAACTGCAGTTGAAATTTTATATGTTTTATATGAGTGATGCATTGCACATAAAAAAGGCAGAACTTGAATCACACCATTATGGCTGCCATCTTGACTTTTTTTTTGGCTCTTTTATGACTCGTGGACTTCAACTTCCACAATTCCTGAGCTAGCTTGCCTGGCTCAGGAATTCTGGGAGTTGAAGTCCACGAGTCATAAAAAAGCCAAGGTTGCCTACCCCTGCAGCCTATAAGCACTTCTGCTTTGAGTAGACATTATAAAATTATATGGGGTGGGGACTTTGAAAATGTCCATAGATCCCATTAGGGAATTGGGCACCCACCAAGATTTTTGCCCCATGTACTGTTTTAGATTAAAGGTAATATCCTACAAAGTAAACCACCATCCTCAGACACCTATATTGCCAAAAATAAATATTGGCCCCTATATATACTATATTGCCACAAAAAAGAAGGGGGTCAACCTATTCTCCGAAGCATCTGAAGGCAGGACCAGAAGCAACAGATGGAAACTAATTAAGGAGAGAAGCAACCTAGAACTAAGGAGAAACTTCCTGACAGAACAATTAACTAGTGGAACAACCTGCCTCCAGAGGTTGTGAACGCTGCAACACTGGAAGTTTGTAAGAAGAGCCTGGACAACCATTTGTCTGAAATGGTATAGCGTTTCCTGCCTGAGCAGGGGGTTGGACTAGATGACCTCTAAGGTCCTTTCCAACTCTGTTATTCTGTTATCCTATATAGCCTTCCAGAAGCCTTCTTAGAAAATAAAATATTGAGTGGCTCCAAGAGCTTGGTTTTACTTATGGTGTACACATGTTTACACATACACATGTTTTGCAAGAATGTCATAATCTGATTTTATTCCTGGCTGCAGTTAAAGAATAGATGAAAGGCTAGTTTAGAAAATAACAAGGGTCATTCTATCTAGATTTAGGTTTGTGTTAAAATAACTGTAAAATATTTGCACAGCTTCCCACCATTTTTCTCCTGACAAACATACAGGTAGTCCTTGATTTATGACCACATTTGGGGCTGGAATTTTGGTTGTACGTCAGTGTGGTCATAAGTCAAATTACGAGGTGACCAGATCTGATTTTATTACCATTTTTATAGCGGTTATAATGCAAATCACTGTGGGTGATTTTTTGGAAGTTTTTTTTGCCTAAAACCTGAAAATAAGTTGCAAATCATGATCATGTAAACTGCACCTGATCTGTAATTATGTGACACACACACCCCGGATGGTAGAATGGACTTAAATGTGATTATAGGACATAAAGCATTTTTTCTTAGGGCATCCTAACTTTGAACAGTTGTTAAACAAACAGTCATAAGCTGAGGACTATCTATACTGTACCTAACGCAGAGATAGGAAGAATAATTAGCTTATTATAACTACATCCACCTACATAGACAACATTTAATACAGAAATATATATGTTTGTGGAGCATAGGTCTATGCACATGAAATATGCATTCTCAGGGACAGTATACTTTCAAACAGCAACTGTTTGGGGCAGAACATAGAACAGGGGTGTCAAACTCGCAACGTCACGTGACGTGTCACGACGTATCGCGACTTGCCATTGCCGACAACAGGGAGGGCGCGGTTCCGCTATGATGCATCCGGCCCGCGGGCCGGCAGTTTGACACCCCTGGCATAGAGGGAAGCAGTTGCATGCTGGGTGGGAATTCTGGGAATTGAAGTCCCCATATCTTAAAGTTGCCAAGATTGAGAAACACTGGTCTTATGCACTACTGACTATTAGGGATGATCACAGGATCGAGTTAAAGATGCCAA